TTTAGCAATATTCCAGCAATATCACGGCGGGGGACACTAGAAATGGGTTTCACACGCTGTACCCTATGTGGGAAATCGAACCCGGGTCTTCAACGTGACGGGCGAACGCTTTACCACTAGGCGAACTCAATTTACATAGCACGGCGTGTCAGTTTAATGTGTATGTGTGTGTGTTGGGGAAGGAGACCTGGCGTTTACCACTGCGGTGAAACAGGGTTTGGTGCTGATAAACCTATCACAGCGGGGACACCAGAAATGGGTTTCACACGTTGTACTCATGTGGGAAATCGAACCTGGGTCTTCAGCGTGACGGGCGAACCACAAGGCGAATTCGGCTACGTCACCCTCCCTACATTCCAGTTATATAGCACGGCGTGTCGGTTTAATGTGTTGGGCTGGCGTTTACCACTGCGGTGATACAGGGTTTGGTGATGATAAACCTAGAAATATAGTCTGGGCAAACCATTCGAACCCAAAATATTCTTGGGTGTCCCAGGGACGCAACTCTGCACACTGAATTGTGCCCTTTGACGACCCAATTACCCGTATCAGATACAGAAGTAGACTTATAAAAAAACGTTTCAAACGTTTCAAACGTTCCTCTGTGTTACATGGCACATTGGTCAAGTCCAGACGCTTTCTAAAGATTACTACAAAAATATATAGATTGATAGAAAATTTAAGTTCTAATTCTCAAAATTGGGAACTTGCTGATTGTTTTAAGAAACTTAAAGCCTCAAAGTATCATAAGTATTATAACTAAGCGTCAGATGTCAATATACCCATATGATCGCGTTTCTTTACCTTTGAGTATATCAAGATATTGTAAACGTATTATCCCTGTCAGTATCAGTATGGTCCTAATTCTTTACATCCCATTCAAAGATACTCGATAAAAAGGCTGTATAGTAATTCTATTCTTTAAAGAGGCGAGTCTAGATAACGGACATTCCACTTTGACGTCAGTCTGTTAGAGGGACAAGGACTTAATTATATTCATATATTGTTTAGAAATTATCATTTAAACTGTTAATTATTACGCAGAGACTTGTTCTAGTCTACCCATGAACTCTTGACGTAGGAGAGGGATGGGGGGTGGGGTGAGGGTCAGGACGGGTGATTTAGAGATCAAGAAGAAAAAAGATGAAAAAAGAAAAAGAAAAGAACCAAACAATAACAAATCAACCAAACAAACAACCTAGCCTTACTTCCATCTTTAATGTATTACAGAAAATGCGGACAATTACCCAAGTTCAGGTCCTAGTTGTCCTGTCGACACACTTAGTATTGGCAATGGCAGCGATCAGCCAACGAAATCAGCCCGTACAAGATCAAGTCAAGACCCAGGCTCCACTTAGCCAATCAGCATCCTCCTCTCTCAATGCTTATGCAGCGCATGTGCAGGAGCATCGCAGCTCTTACATGAAGTCCGCGATGACGTCAGAGAACAGAGAAGACCACGTGCAAGATTCTGACGTGATGAGCGAGGAGCCGAACAGTCATGATGGCAGGAGGCCAAAGAGAGCTTCTGTACTAGCTGCGGCAATACCAGTTGTAGGGGAATTTTTCCGTAATATTTTTCAGGGTTCGTCAAATACTCCCGACTGTATGACAGAGGCCCAGCTGGAAAGAAAATTTTATGAATACCAGCAGGCGCTGAGATCAGGTGTGTCTTCAGTTTACCCTTTGCACTATAGAGATTTTAAAAAAATGATTCCTTTGTAATCACTGACGTTTTAGTCAACGGGACAGCAGTGCTTTTGTCTATCGATGTCTCGCTTAAGGAAAGCGTTTCAGGCGAATCTATACCGAAACGTCACATCACAACATAATAAAGACGTGAAATTGTCATCCTTAATGTATCATACCTTTATTTAGGTAATATTGCTATGTATGCAGTATCGAGAATTTGAAAAATGTTAAATGTACAAATCTGACTATTGCAAAATAATGAGATCCCTTGCATTCATTATGGCCGTAGGATCACAGATATTTCAAGTGTAGTTTGTATGGTAATTCTTACTGATCAAGGGGGGAGTTATTGCGCATGCGTGAGTGAGTTTAGTTTTACCCCGCTTTTAGCAAAATTCCAGTAATATCACGGTTGGGGACACAAGAAATGGGTTTCACACATTGTACCAATGTGGGGAATCGAACCCGGGTCTTCGGCGTGACGAGCGAAAGCTTTAACCTCTAAGATACCAAACTGCCCCTAGTGTGTATGGACATAAACATGGTACAGTCGCTTTCCCCTTTGATTGTCTTAATGAAGGGGGGCGGTGGGGTAGCCTAGTGGTTAAAGCGTTGGCTCGTCCCGCCGAAGACCCGGGTTCGATTCCCCACATGGGCATAATGTGTTAAGCCCATTTCTGGTGTCCCCCGCCGTGATATTGCTGGAATATTGCTAAAAGCGGCGTAAAACTAAACTCAGTCAGTCAGTCAGTCTTAATGAAGGAAGACAAGTATGGGACTTACGAGTTGTATAAGTGTCGGTTAAGGGATTCGAACTCCTGACACGGCTCCCAACCACCCTAGTTGTCTAGCGATTAAGGGTTACTGGTTGCGATTGTGTATTTTGTTTGTGTTATTTTCATAGTTTCACCTTTGTGTCATTCGCAGGTGCCAAGGAAATCCAGGGTTTGCCTGCAATCCTGATGTTTATAGGCGTCAGGATCCTGTACATGGTGTTGGGGCTCCAGATGTCATTCTAGAAGTGTATGCGAAGACAAAACTGGCTTAACAGTTCATTATACATATATAAAATATTTTGTTGTGGGTTATATATATTGTATACAGTATACGTATGAGTTACATATTTTCAATTATTTTGTAGACGTATTACAAACTATAGTTGACCACCTCCGTGGTGTAGAGGTTAGAGCGTCCGCCCGGAGAGCGGAAGGTCACGGGTTCGATCCCCGGCCGCGTCATACCAAAAGACGTTAAAATATGGTACTTGTTGGTCCCTGCCTAGCGTTCGGGATTAATGGGTACAACAAGGACTGGTCGGCTCGGAGTCAGTATAATGTGTCTGAGTGGGGTATTCATGCTTCACTGCGGCTTGGTATTTCAGTTGGCTAGCACTATAAAACCAGCTTCAGTCTGGGCTAGTACAAGCAGCCGCACATACACATACACACGCATGCACGTCGTCATATGAGCAAAATATTCTCAAGCACGACGTTAACCCCAATTTCACCTCATCACACATACTATAGTTACATATTTTGTATACATAAGCTTTTATTATTTGTTTAAGTTTTTATTTATTTATTTTTTTATTTAAATTAATGTTTTGAGTTTAAACAGGTATTAACTGTTCCTGTATGAACAGGGGCCATCGGTGAAAAATTCAAAACGACCCAGAGAATACTTGAAAATACATTGTTTTAACTTTTTTTATTTAGGTTCACTTTCGATAAAAAAATCTGCTTTTCCAACTGAAGCTGAAGAATATACCAGTCTTTATGCAAAATTAACACATGTCTTACAGCACACATATTGAAATATATCTGACACGGATTTTTGTACCTATATATGTCAAACGAAAAAAAATATAAAAAATCTGATAATTAGATAGCTGTTTGTTTTCTTTTCTGAGTTGTGATAGTAGTCGACTTCTATAGTGTTATTTAATCAAAGTGGAACAACATACAGAATGTCCGTGCAATGGAATACATATGGGTGAACATTAAATCGCTTTTCAATCTCCTCAAATCACTGTACAGAGTTGCGTCCCTTGATGGAATCATGATCTGTTGACCGTGGCTTTTAATCGTAGATTCCCACATGCTCAGTGAGAATAACTAAAGTACTGTCGGAAATGCTAGAAAAATGCTTTTTAGCCCTAATACTTTGATAAAGGTGATAAATGTACTATGTTGTCAATATATCAACTCGCCTATAGAGTACCTAATTTTTATTTCAATCGATTTAACATTCCCATGCATTTAAAAGGGCAGTTTACAGGATAGAATATGGTACCAAAACAACAACTACCCGTTATTTTTTTAAGTTTTTGGTATTTTCATCAGTAAAAACACATTTTAAGTCATATCTTAAAATTTATTCCCTCGGTCTACATTAGGTAGATGTTTCTAAAGTGATATTTGTTATTTAAGTAACTGTAATACCTCTGAATTTTAAATAAGTCAAAAAGCATTTTTCTAGCATTTCCGACAGTACTTTAACCATAGCTTTAACTATATAAGTGCCAATGTGGTGGTATTACATCGCATTAGCCAACAAAGTATTTTTGTAATGCCCCGATTCGCACTTAATTCATTTTTAAGCAACATACCCATGCTCGGGGGATTCATTAGGGCCTTCTTTGGGCTGCATAACTGGCTTAAAGAGGCTTAAACCAAACTCATTCACTCCTTCCATTCCAAAGGTGTATCACAGTATTAAATAAGACGTGTCTGCCTTGTGTCAGGCTGTATGAAACATGCATTACTATTTACACCTTAATAATCGCACGCGGTAGGGTAGCCCAGCGGTTAATGCGTTAGTTCGTCACGCCGAAGGTTCCCCACATGGGTACAATGTGTGACACCCCTTTCTGGCGTGCCCTGCTGTGATATTGCTGGAATATTGCTAAAAGTGGCATCAAACCAAACTAAAGTATTCGCTTGTCCAGCCGAAGACCCGGGTTCGATTCCCCACCTGGGTACAATGTGTGAAGCACATTTCTGCTGTCCCCCGCAGTGATGTTGCTGGAATATTGCATGTCCACTGGAACCCACTGCATTGGCGTATGGACATTGAAATTAGTTCCTGCGAGGCAAACTCATTTGCATATTTATCTTATAAATCATGATACAAAATCTATGCGATAAATCAAATCAACGAATGTCGATATATAAGGGTCATCAATATATATCTAGTGTTAATCAATATACCAAACATGCGAGTATATGTATTTATTGTATAAAATACGTCCTTGGATGAGACTCCGATACTAAATAAGATATACACAATAAAATAAAATAGAACACAAATGAGTGTAGCACAAAATAATTTATTCCCAAAAAGTATTTATTGCTATAACGAAACATTTCTTAGCGATAGTGAGGACGCGAAACAATGCATGGAAACTCGTCACTATGAGTGTATTGGAGTCCACAAACAGCTCAAACACTCCAGATGTATCGTACCTGGAGTATTTTACAATTCAAGTTCATACTGTGTTACCATGGATACGCGACTTGCCAGTGCGATTATCGTGGCACTGATCTCGATACGCAAAACGTTGACCAGCAACACTATACAGTTATTTCCAGTAGAGGTTCTTGAGTCCAGATAAGCTTACAACCCCAGCGCCACCATTGCAAGGAGTGGAATCGTTAAGGACGCCATGGTGACGTATGACGTCGATGCCCCTAGAACAGAACATATATTATCAGTGATAATTCCACAATATATGGTCGTCATTCTTAACCCTGCAAAACAACTGTAGGTATGTCAGGGATATACTATGCTGCACATGTTAACAGCTTAAATTAAATTAATGAGCTAGAAGACTGACTGACTGAGTTTGGTTTAACGCCGCTTTTAGCAATATTCCAGCAACATCACGGCGGGGGACACCAGAAATGGGCTTCACACATTGTACCCATGTGGGGATTCGAACCCGGGTCTTCGGCGTGACGAGCCAACGCTTTAACCACTAGGCTACCCCAAGCTAGAAGAACATTTATTTTCATTTAACAAGGTAAATAAATAAATAAATAAATAAATAAATAAATAAATAAATAAATAAATAAATAAATATCCAAGTGAGTAAATGAATGACTGAATAAAAGAGACAAATAAAACAGGCCCCAGTTTGTTTGTCTATGAAATATTCTTATATCTTAATGATCAATATATACATGTATATCTATATGTGCGTGTATGTATATGTGTGTATGTGTGTATGTGTGTATGTATGTATATATATATATATATATATATATATATATATATATATATATATATATAAATTATCATATCTGTGAGTGAGTGAGGTTAGTTTTACGCCGGTTTTAGCAATATTACAGCAAAATCACGGCGGGGGACACCAGAAATGGGCTTCACATATTGTACCCATGTGGGGAATCGAACAGGGTCGTCGGCGTGGCGAGTTAACGCTTTAACCACTAGGCTACCCCACCGTCCCTATCATATCTGTGATATACACTGACCACTGGTCTCCAGAACCTGCATCATTTGGGCCACCCTCTGTGCACTTTCAGCATCTCCGAAATCATGCTGCTTGTCTCGCAAGTCAATGAACTTGTTGAGGATCCCTTTGGCCACTGTCTTCTTTAGTTTTTTCAGACCGGAGAGGACCAGCTTGAACTTATCCTTTGCCAGACCGAAAACGGAACCCAGAGTTCTGCTAAATCCTGACTTCAGGCCCTCCAGAATACCCTTCACGCTGTGTTCGGGATGCGACGGTTCCGTGTCTTCGGTGTCCTGGGCGTTCACACAGAACAGTACCACGACCCACATTAGGATAATGGAAGACTTCATGTTTCTGAAGAAGAACAATTTGAAGTTTTATTTTAACCGCAAAACCTTGATAATCTGGACTCCGCTATTCCGAACCAATTTGTCAGACAGACGGTTAGTGCTTGGAGCTTCTTGATATACTCCTGGTCTCTATATGGCTGAATCATTGCCGATGCGATGTTAAATGTTTATTCACTTACTCTTGATATATTCGGTTTATGCTAAGTAAGCGAGTGAATGTTACAATATGCCAACTTCATCTTTAGGTCCGAACAATCAAGTGATTGACATTATGAGCAATGAGCCACACCGCCGAAGTGCGATGACATGCAACTTTAACAAATCTACAATAGTTCAGTTATATCAGGGCATGTCATCTAAAAGTGAGTGAGTATGGTTTTGCGCAACTTTTAGCAATATTCCAGCAATATAATAATAATAATGGAAATGTATATAGCGCTAAGTCCAACCACTAAGTGGGTGCTCAAAGCGCTACAAAATAATAATAATGTTTGAATAGAGTTAATAGTGCAGCGAAAAGAGATGCGTTTTAAGATGTGATTTGAACACATCAACTGATGGGGACAGTTTTAAGGCGAGGGGCAGTTCATTCCACAGCGATGGAGCACAAACACTGAAAGAACGCTTTCCATAAGAGACCAGTCTATAAGAAGGAGTTTTCAACAAGAATCTGCTTTCAGATCGCAGTTGTCTGGGTGGTTTGTAGGGGGTTAGCAGTTCGCTTAGATATTCGGGTGACATGCCTTACAGACTCTTGAATGTGATACAGAGTACTTTAAATACTATCCTTGCCTCAACCGGAAGCCAGTGTAATGACTTCAGTATCACAGGCCCTCGTGTCTTTGCGAGGATTAAAGATTAAAAAGATATTGTTACACTGTGAAGCATTTCGAGTCGGGGGTCATCTCAAAAACAATTTTTAAAAAATCTTTAATCCTCGCAAAGACACGAGGGCCTGTGTTCAGTATCGGCGTAATGTGAGAGTACTTTAGAGCACGTGTAACGATTCTTTCCGCTACATTTTGGACATTTTGAAGTATCATGGCGGGGAACACCAGAAATGGGTTTCACACATTCTACCAATGTGGGGAATCGAACCAAATGCTTTAAACATTAGGCTTCCCCACCGCCCCTCAATATTCACAAGAGTATTTACGTTTAATGATTCTAGCAAGCAAGAACATACAATCAATATAAACAAGACTGACGATACCGCATTGTATTATTGCATAATTTTATTAAAGATTTTAATAAAGTTAAAACATTGCAGATTAGAATAATAATATGATTTTTACACTTTTTCAAATGTCTCAAAAAGAAGAAGAGTTTTACAATTACTAACATGTGCACTACATAAAGTACAATTTGTAATATATCTTTTTCAATAATTTCTACTGTTTCAAACACTTACCAGTGTTATACGGTGGTAGATCGAGGAACTTCTGCCGGGGACCTCTGACTCCACATCCTTTATATAAGGACAGCCTTGACCCATCTTCTTCACAGTCGGAGATGATGCGACCACGTTGCTTCCTCAGCGGTTGTCGGGGAGGGTGCCAGATAGTAATTACTCATGCCATTTGTGCTCGTAGGAGGATTGTGTGGTTATGGGGAACAATTGGATACTTCCTATTTATGCATCATGTGACGCTTTCTTTCCGTGGCTTCCGTCAAGTTCACAACAACCATCGAGTATTTCGCCATGATGTTGCTTGAAGAGTGCTGGCTGTGACAATCAGATTCACTAGCAAATCACCACAACCATAAAGTCATATCTCTCATGACGTCATGATAGTAACTGAGACAGGATGATCCAGCAGATTATGTATGTAGATAAGAGTAAGTGGATGTGGTGTTCTACTTGTGAACTGGATAGGGAGGACCACAATTAGGACAGGAAACGATGAGCTAGTTCGGGCGTGATGGTTTTGTTCGGTCAATAACACTTGGTCCAGATCCAGAAGATGCTCTATAACTACTTTGTATCTTCAAAGATATACATTTGACTATTGCATTTGTCCATTGGTCTCATAGGAAACGTGCGTGCGCATGGTCCTGATTAGACTAACGCTTAGTGTCTGAATATATATAATTTTGATAGCAACAAACAAGCCCCCATTTAAATTGAAAAGGAGCCCTAGGCAGACCAGAGATTCCTGAACCTGAGGAAATCTAGGCTTGCTTTATTTAGGGCTTTAGCACTGCAGAGAAGGCTAGGCATTAGGGAAAATAATGTGTTTCAGGGACTAGGTCCTGATAAAAGGAGTTATCTGTGGTGACGGTAGATGTGTATTTACGAATATGTCCACATGTAAATCGTTATAAGGACAATAACAAACCATAATTGTTTTTAGTATGTATTTTTAGTGGATGCTGGAACAAGAGAATAACGTAGTGAAATGCTTTATGACTAAAACATATATTAAGGCGAACAGTGAGACAGCTATGCTGTGTCACCCACTGATTTCTTTGCTAAAAAAAGTTTGTTGGGATCAAAATGATACGGATGAATCACAATCTAACTCCAAATCGGTTCATGATCACACACTCATTTCAACGCAGAATGTAAGGAAAACATCAGACCAACACTGGAAAAACGTTTCGTACCGTTTGCCCCCAAAATAAAAAAGTTACGTAACAAACTATCCTGATTTTGTTTTGATTTTCCGTGTGAGTGAGTGAGTGAGTGAGTTGGGTTTTACACCGCTTTTAGGCTTTAGCAATATTCCAGCAATATCACGGCGGGGACACCAGAAATTGCGATTTTCCGTGAAGTTTTACGAGGGTAAACTAACAGTGGTACTGTTGTAGGAACAGCCTCAAGGACGGGAAGCACGTGCAGATGTCAACATTTAGGGGTTGTATCAAAACTCTTCCGGACCGGAATCTATCAGTTTCTTGTCACATGGTTCTGTAGAGGAGTAACTTTTATATTTTGGAGACAAACGTTATGAAACTTTTTTTCCAGAGTTGGTCTGATGTTTTCCTTATATTCTGCGTTGAAAGGAATGTTTGATCATGAACCGATTTGGAGTTAGATTGTGATTCATCCGCATCATTTTAAACAGACTATAGTTGTAACAATGCCTGTACGTGTGTGTGCACGCAAGAATGTACAGCACACAACAAGATTGTGCATGACAGAGTGTATTAATGCTTTAATGCTTTTTGGCTGCAAGAGTTGTATACTCCCCAGGGAGCTGAGATTGATAATGCGATGTGCCGTTGAGATTGACATCCAATGATCGAGGGAAAAAAAAATACCAGCGCCTTGAGCATGCACTAGTGCGTGGATATGTGCGCTATATAAATATCCTATAATTTACTGACAAAAATGATTTCAGATGCAAGAGACCCTTGAAGACCCGTGAAGATCTGGGTTAGAATTGGTCTTAACCCATGCTTGAGTAAGAGGCGACTAACGGGATCTGGTGGTGAGGCTCGCAGACTTGGTTGACACATGCTGTTGATCACTGGAGTGCCTGGTTCAGAAACGATTAATTACCGACCGCCGCCATTTAGCTGGATATTGCTGAGTGCGGTGTTAAACAACAAACCATCCAACCTATCACCCGTACCCCCAAGATATATGCCGTTGTTCATGTATATTGTGTTTCAGAGTTGAAGTTGCATTTTATACCATATTTATTTCCTTTTTAATCTACACATTCACACAAAGAGAACTATCATGATATGCTGTAAACTGTGTAAACCGTTTCTGCAGTATACGTTTGCGTCCCTCGGCTTTAGATTAAACCATAGACATAATAGCAAATGTCGATGCATTTTTTACCCAATATACCGGTACACAGATAAATCTTATTGCAATATGAATCGTTTGAAGCATATTGCGGTTTTCCGATAATAACGTGCAGCCCTTGTAATCAGTCGTCATAAATTCAATATATGATAGTGATTTCTTCATACATGCTTGGTATATAATCGTATTTGTACAGGGGCGGTGGGGTAGCCTTGTGGTTGAGGCGTTCGCTCATTAGGCCGAAGACCCGGGTTCGATTCCCCACATGTGCATAGGTACAATGTGCGAAGCCCATTTCTGGTGTCCCCCGCCGTGATATTGCTGGAATAGTGGTTAGAGCGTCCGCCCGGAGAGCGGAAGGTCGCGGGTTCGATCCCCTGCCGCGTCATACCAAAAGACGTTAACATATGGTACTTGTTGGTACCTGCCTGGTCGGCTCGGAGTCAGTATAATGTGTCTGAGTGGGGTATCCATGCTTCACTGCGGCATGGTATCTCAGTGGGCTAGCACTATAAAACCAGCTTCAGTCTGGGCTAGTACAAGCACCGCACAAACACACACATACACACGCATGCACGTCGTCATATGAGCGAAATATTCTCAAGCACGACGTTAAACCCAATTTCACCCCACCTCACCTATTCTTTATATTGATTTTTAATTGTTTAATCAGCATTCTAAAAGTTGGTGATGCAATAACGAAGAAAACGACCTAGTTGATAGTTATCTTAGCCAAGGACAAGATGTTATTATCCATAATGTGAGTGAGTGTGTTTAGTTTTATGCCACTTTTAGCAATATTGCAACAATATCACAGCAGGGGACACCGTAAATTGGCTTCACACATTGTACCCATGTGGGGAATCGAACCCGGGTCTTCGGCGTGACGAGCGAACGCTTTAACCACTAGGCTACACCACCGCCCTTATCCATAAAGACGTGTGCTTCCATATTTTGCTTGTTTAACGCACACCATAACGCTTTGTGATAACACGAATTTATACTTCTTTCCTTGTATTAAGTCGATCTTTTCTCAGTGCAGCTTAAAAATGTTACCTTGTTTCCTTTAAATCTATAGGGACAGTGATGTTAGAAGACCCGGGTTCGATTCCCCACATGGGTACAATCTGTAAAACCAACTTCTGATGTCCCCCAGCCGTGATGTTGCTGGAATATTGCTAAAGTCGGCGTAAAACTAGACTCACTCACTCACTGTTAATCTATTTGCACAAGCTGTTTCTATGAACAGTGCATTTTATATCCCTATACTATACACTACGGTTATAACGAACTCGAAGAGACCACAAAATGTAGTTCGTTATAACCGAAGTTGGTTGACCAAGATTTGCAGAAGGTGTCCGGGACGAAAAGAAACAGTTCGTTATATCCGTTCGTTCGTTATGTAAGTTTTTTCGTTATAAAAAAAACCCTGTTCAATGAGTGTGATAGTAAATACAATTGGTGTGATAGTAAATACAATTGGTGTGATAGTAAATACAATTGGTACGATAGTAAATACAATTGGTACGAAAGTTAATACAATTGGTACGATAGTAAATACAGCGTAGGTAATATAGTAATATATACAACGTAAGTAATGTAATTGACACAGACCTGTTTAGATGAGTGTGTGTCAAACGGTTGGTCACGCGGTCACGCACATGGTCAAGCCGACGAAGAGCCAAAGGTCAGTTGGACAATTTAATTAGATACCTAAACCTGATATATACGGAATGTTTATAACAGTCTTTTAAAGGGTTTATCGCAGTTTTGACACGGACATTTTAGATTTCGTGTCAGATAGGTGAACTTTGAAACTCTGTTACTCAACAATGGTGTGGATGTCTGCGCCAGTATCGTAGGTGTGAAATATGGCGCCGGTATCGTAAGGGACCGTTCATAATTTATGGCTAGGGGAGGTGATGATGATTTTTATGGAGAAGCATGTACAATGTGAATGACCCTCCCTAAAATAAAATCTATCAACAAAATGTCAAGTACAAAATCAATGACCCCACCCCACCCCCACCCCCGACCCCATGATTTCTAAGTATTTCTTTACACATATTCCTATGTACATAAATGCTGACCCCACAGTACGTGTGTAAAATTGGTCATGCCCCACCCGCTCCCCAGAAAAAAATCTCTCTCTCTCTCTTTAAAATCAAAAATCTCTCACTCACTCACACACTCTCTCACACACAACGATGAATAATGAACGGTTCCTAATGACTTAAGATTTGATAGCACTGTCTGTAACTAGTCCCTGTAACGCATTTCTAAGGTTGAAGAATATTTTGAATTAGTCAAATATTCCACTGATAACGTTCCTCTGACAGTCTGTCTTTTCTCCTGTGATGCTTATGTTGTCTAGAACAAATGTCAGTGTTTGTATTTTTTGGCAAAACATCCATGACGATCCACTGGACCTGTCTGTCAAGGTTATACCGGTTTCTTAAAAGTCCGTGGGGATCCTGGACAGAATTGGTCACCAGAAACCCCTGGATCGAGTGGTCAGGCGAGTTGTCTTGGTGGAATGCGTGTCACCATATCCGACGGTATGGATCGTTCTCATACTGTCAATCAGTGGATTGTCTGATCTTGATTCACAGGATTTCCCCAATCAACAGGGGCGGTGAGGTAGTCCAGAGGCTAAAGCGTTGGCTCGTCACGACGAAGACTCGGGTTCGCTTCCCCACATGGGTACAATGTGTGAAGCCCATTCCTGATGTCCCACGCCGTGATATTGCTGGAACATTGCTAAAAGCGGCGTAAAACTAGACTCACTCACAAGTAGAAGCTCTTGAACACAGACCAGATCAGCCTTATTTCATCACCTGCCAACAGCTATTGACTGTTGACACAATGAGATACCAGCCTGTGACCAGCACGACTTGACTTTAGAAAGACAATTTCAATTTGGTGTCCGCCGCCATGATATTGCTGCGAACATTGTTAAAATCGGCGTAAACCTAGAATCATTGACGCTCTTGAAACAGTGGCATATTTCATCACCTGCCACCTATTGACTCCACTCACCAGCACGACTCATACAACACCACCACCATGATATTGCTGGAATATTGCTAAAAGCAGCATAATGCAAAGCTATAAGTATGTAATTATACACTGTATGTATCGATAACGTATAGGAACCGATGTGAATTATCTTGTGTTAAGCGAATACCTTTCACTTATTGTCACGCTTTTGAGTTGAGTGCTGTAATCTACTCATATTTGATATTCGTCTCATTGTTGACAATGTGAGTGTGTCATTGTTAACAAAATAATCTACACCTAAACATACATGTGTACATGTACGGAGAGCGCAAAAATAGCTATGCCTGATATGGGGAGATGAGAAAACTATGGTCATGGGTTCGATTCTCCGTGACAGATTTTCTTGGTTTGTAGGCACCATACAAACGGTCGTTGGTTTTACTCAAGTGGTGATATATCTACTTCGGCTTACATCAATGATGGTCAGGGTCGCTGACTTGGTTGACACATGTCATCGTATCCCAATTGCGTAGATCAATGCTCATGGTGTTGATCACTGGATTGTCTGGTTGGGTTGACTCAATTATTTACAGACCGCCGTCATAGAGCTAGCATATTAATGAGTACGGCGTAAAACTAAACTCACTCATTCCACATTAATGGCCCGTTCCACAAAGCGATCGTAGCACTGAGGTGATCGCAAATCCCATACTTTAACATAGACTTACGACAGTCGTAGCACTGAGGTGATCGCAACTCCCATACTTTAACATAGACTTACGACAGTCGTAGCGCTGAGGTGATCGCAAGTCCCATACTTTAACATAGACTTACGACAGTCGTAGCGCTGAGGTTTAATCCCATACTTTAACATAGACTTACGACAGTCGTAGCACTAAGGTTAAATCCCATACTTTAACATAGACTCACGACAGTCGTACCACTGAGGTTAACGCAACTCCCATACTTTAACATAGACTTACGACAGTCGTAGCACTGAGGTTAAATCCCAAAATTTAACATAGACTTACGACAGTCGTACCACTGAGGTTATCGCAACTCCCATACTTTAACATAGACTTACGACAGTCGTAGCACTGAGGTTACATCCCATACTTTAACATAGATTTACCACTACGGTCGCTTTGTGGAACGGGGTCCAAGTTGATATAACTGAAATTGTGCTTCAAGTGATGTGAACCTACACAGAATCGTTAATGATTAATAACTTTGTTTTGTCACGCAAGAATGAAAACACACAGACATAACATATTATAAAAATAGCATTTTATTTTATTTTACAGATGATTTTACTACAGATCAGTTTATAACTTAAGCTATAACTGCCAGCAGAGGAATAGCCAATGACGTTATGGCGACGTAAGCTGTAGACGCCCCTGAAATAAGAAAACAATCACATCATAGAAGTGTAAGCTATATAGAAAAGTACATAAAGTGTTTCTCTAAAGAAGTACTGGCAATATGTATCGTGAAGTTCAAGCCTATTTTCTTCTATGCATCAACATGTCATAAGAAACAATGCTATTTGTATTCTGAGTATTCCTAGACTCCATGAATGAACGACAATAGGGAAATACATTGATTGGATACTCTGATACGTATTTTCAAACAAAGGTAAATGTGATCTGGATTAGTTCTAAGTGACCAAAAGAAATAATCGAAACCATGCTGACTTGCGAAGCCGTTATTATGGAATGGAATAATTTATACATTTCTAGGGGAGGTGCGGTTGCGTAGTTGTTAAAACCTTCCCTCGTCACGCCGAAGACCCGGGTTCGATTCCCCACATTGGCACAATGTGTGAAGCCTGTTTCTGGTGTTCCCCGCCGTTATATTGCTGGAATATTGCTAAAAGCGGCGTAAAACTTAACTCACTCACTCATTATATATTGTTAACGGTAAACCTGACATTGTAATGCACAACACTTACCGCTAGCTAACTCCTGCTGTTGAATGTTCTCCTCCAGTGATTCCATCAAAAGGGACACCCTCTGGAAATTTTCACCACTTCCAAAGTCGTGGTGCTTGTTCTTCAAATCAAAGAATTTATTCAGGAGTGCCTTCAATACCGCCAACTTCAGCTTCCCCAGAGCTTTCAGGATGTCTTTGAAGTCATCCTCGTCAAGCTTGAAAATAGAGGGCAGATATTTGCTGAACTTGTTGGTCAGTCCATCCACGATATCCCGCTGTTGAATGTTCTCTTCCAAAGATTCCATCATCTGAGACACCCTCTGGAAATTTTCACACTTCCAAAGTCGTGGTGCTTGTCCTTCAAATCAAAGAATTTATTCAGGAGTGCTTTCAGTACCGCCAACTTCAGCTTCCCCAGAGCTTTCAGGATGTCCTTGAAGTCGTCCTCATCGAGCTTGAAAATAGAGGGCAGATATTTGCTGAATTTGGTGGTCAGTCCATCCAAGATATCCCGCTGTTGGATATTCTTCTCCAAAGATTCCATCATTTGAGACACTCTCTGAACATTCTGTGCGCTTCCGAAATCGTGGTGCTTGTCCTTCAAATCAAAGAATTTATTCAGGAGTGCCTTCAATACCGCCAACTTCAGCTTTCCCAGAGCTTTCAGGATGTCCTTGAAGTCGTCCTTGTCCAGGTCGAAAATAGACGCGAGATGTTTACTGAACTTGTTGGTCAGTCCATCGACGATAACACTCACAAACGGCCTATGACGTGACGTTGTGGTGACCTGTGTGACCGTTGTGACATGGGTGTTCAGGGTAACCTGGCGGATATGGGTGTCCTGGGTGTCCTGGGCGTTGGACATGGTGGAGTGCGCACACACCAGTACGAGGCACAGAAGGGCGATGGACGACTGCATGCTTCTGAATAAGCAATAAAAGTTAAAGTTTTAATATTATGAATATATATTAAATATATTTAGCTAGTTTAATGTTGGTCTTAAATGAAGCTAGTTTGAACACATCAGAGGAACAGACTCAATACAAAGCATTCTAAAGAACATTGGTCCTTGTTCAGGGCCGACCTCAGGACAGTGAAAACGCTGTCCAGGTTGTCGTCATTTAGGCGTGCCTTGATTCTTTGGCATGGGTTCCAATCTCAGATTCACCACGTGATTCATAGCCGCGTGCCATGGTTATTTACCAAAGATCCTTTTTGACTTTCTCGCAGATTAAGATATAGAGAATCTCACCCAAGTGTCTACTGATATCAATTATATCAACACGAGTTGATAAAGTTACAAATACCCGAGGCTTGCCGAGGATATTTTCACCTTTATCAACGAGTGTTGATATATTTGATATCAGTAGACACGAGGGTGAGATTCTATTTATCATTAAAAATCATTCTTAATTTGTTTTCAACACTGTACTTCCATTAGACTTGCAGTGCAGCATTGTCAGGCATTGTACAAAATCTACTGTCAAAATGATCATCTGATCTCACACAAGCGATATCTCCTGTGGAACATAGTTTTGGATGATAAAATGTTATTGAACTACTGTTGCAAGTGGCGAAACTCACTCACTCAAACTCAAAACGTTAACCAGTCTCGACCAGTCTCCATGGGGTGCAAAAATTAATAATCGCGGTGGAAATCACACGCATGTATTACATTGTGACACCGGGTGTTAAAGAACATATTGAGAGTTTGTGGTGAAAAGAGTGAGTGAGTGAGTGGGTATGGTTATATGCCGCTTTTAGCAATATTCCAGCAAAGACACATATTGTACCAATGAGAGAAATCGAACCCGGGTCTTCGGCGTAACGAGCTAACCACTAGCCTACCCCACCGCCCCTGTGGTGAGAAAAACATCGGCCAATAGCATCAAATACATTAATAGCCAGTTCAGAGAACAAGAACCCATGCAGATTCGGGTTAGAATTGGTCTTCAGCAACCCATTCTTGTCGTAAGAGCTGAATAACGGGATCGGCTGGTCACACATGCTGACCTGGTTGACACATGTCATCGGTTCCCAATTGCGCAGATCGATGCTTATGATGTTGATCACTGAGTTGTCTGGCCCAGACGCGATTATTTACAGACCGCCGCCATATAGCTGGAATATTGCTGAATGTGGCGTAAAACTAAACTCACTCAATACAAAGCGATCGTAGCGTTGAGGTGATCGCAATTCCCATACTTTAACATAGACTTACGATAGTCGTAGCGCTGAGGCAGGGGCGTAGGAACGGGGAGGGGTGGGGGGGGCGCTTGGGCTTAGCCCCCCACTTTTCAAGACGAAACCATATCTTCCTTACCATAACTACAATTTCATTTTGATTTTCAATACTTTTCATAAATTAGCCTCCCCCCCCCGCTCTGAAAACCGTTCCTACGCCCCTGTGAGGTGATCGCAGCAACCAAACTAAATCCTGAATATTTACTAACACGATTTCCACATGGATAACACCTTATTCTTATAACACCAAAACCGCTTACCTTTCAGATAGAGATATGTGGATGGTCAGCGTGTGTTCAGCTGCTGTGTTGACCACTGAGTCTGTGCCATTATATAGGGTTAGCCGGGAACCTTGTCATTCTGCGACACTTTCCGTGGGTGAATCATGGGGTGGTGCCATATATCCATGACACAGCCTCTTTGCTTGTCGTCAGGGGGGTCGTGTGATTTGGGAGGACAATGGGAAGCGTCCGCTGTGATGGAGCAGGGTGACTCAGTTTCCTTCATAGTTCACACTGAACACCCTATGACGTATTCATTTAGACTTACAGTTTTGATCTTTGCTACAACTACCATACTAGACAATAACAACAAGAGTTATCTCCCGTGTTGTCATATGACGTCACGGGTCTGACAGCAATGATGACAAGGCGATCGTGTAGATTTTAAAAGTAGATAAACCCAAGGAGATTTGACAACGCGTGGGGGTGTTATTTACGAGACATTTAGGAAACGGGGGCTCATTTCCACGGGGGGTCATCATGACGGAGCGCTGTATCAGCGTAACATGATGCAGCCTTAGTAGATCTGTCGGCACAAATGACAAGACTATTATCAAAGAAGAGTTTGGGATGATGCTGATAAAGCGAAATCAGTCATTGAGCGTATTTTCAGTAGCAGCTGCACTTAAATGTACCTTAGGGCTTGGAATTGAGAATACAGCTTGACAGATTAATGTAGCATTTATTGTTCCTCTCAAACGGCCGACATGGTGTATGAAAATAAACAGACATTTCGCTGTACCATTTCGCTATTGGCCGTTTCCTGCCTCCTGAAATGTAATGTATCGTCTTTGTGGGCGCATTCGTCATTTTGCATTAAATTCTTATTCTCACCCCTCCGTAAAACAACAGTCTATCCCCCAAGTTTGTTATTAAATTACATGTTAATTTAAAACTGTTTTTATTAAATCTTTGTACAAACTGAATGGGCTGTATCGACAGTTCCTATTCATTCAGTATAGCAGAAGATGCCTCTGACTGACGCTGGTGCTGAAGCGGCTGATCATGGTAGATTTCACAAGGTCGTTTATATTTGTTGTTGAGATCCAAATGGCATTCCACCTCCGTCAGATCTGACTTTTCTCACACATTGAGTACACTATTATAAGTGACGCACAGTTAACCAGAACTGTTTGTTTGTTTGTTGGACACTGCACTATTCCCGCCATGTGGCGGTCTGTAAATAATCGAGTCTGGACAACACAATCCAGTGATCAACATCATGAATATCGATCTACGCAATTGGGATAGGTTAGTCGCCTATTAGGAAAAGGTGCTGAAGATCAATTCTAACCCGGTCTTAATTCGCATATACGTAAATGTCCTTCATATCTTATTCCTAATATTACTCTCCGACCATAGAGAACATAAAGGGGGCGGTGGGTTAGCCTAATGGTTAAAGCGTTGCCTCGTCACGCCGAAGACCCGGGTTCGATTCCCCACATAGGCACAATGTGTGATGCCCATTTCTGGTGTCCCCCGCCGTGATGTTGCTGGAATATTGCTAAAAGCGGCGTAAAACTAAACTCAGTCAGTCAGTCAGTCAATGAACATAAAGTAAAACAGATCAGAACCATTTGTGACCAATTCGTGTCATTCTGGAACAAGCACAAAGTAGACTCGTGCCCGTTTTGATGTATTATTTCCACAATACATTTCTGTGGACTGCAAATTAAACCTTACATGACTTACTTCTCGACCATGACAGCGCTAACGAACATTATGCAAACTACATTTGTGTCCTTTGAGTTATCTGAATCTTTGTTTGTTGTTTAACGCCGCACTCAGCGATATCTCGGCGAGTCTGGACAACAGGAGCATCGATCAACTAAACTGCCATGTGATACCCATAACATTACTAAGAACAAAATATCCATCATCATCATGTCAAGAGATTGGTTGTTTTGTTGTTTAACGCCGCACTCAGCAATATTCCAGCTGTATGGCGGCGGTCTGTAAGTAGTCTGGACCAGACAACCCAGTGATCAACAGCTTGAGCTTCGATAACTGGGATACGATGACTTGTGTCAACCAAGTCAGCGAGTCTGACCACCCGATCCCTTAAGTGGCCTTTTACGACAAGCATGGGTTGCTGAAGAAAAATGCAATTCTAACCCGGATCTTGTCGGGTACCATGTCACCATGTCACAATAGATATGTACATATGTACCGACATATATATATATATATATATATATATATATATATATATATCACTTCTCCCTGAAGATAAAAGTGAAACATGTTGGAGAAGATCCGTGTCGTGTGATTATTTCAGAAACTTCTTCTTATATACGTACTACTGTACGCTCGGTATTCTCATCACTTTCTTTATATATTCTCATCACTTTCTTTATACATAACAAATCCTCAAATTCTATAATTTTGATAAAAAAAACTCCCGAGTTATCTCTAATAAATTCGTCACATGGTTTTGAAGGGCGTACGGGACTGTAAGACCCTTGTAATTTCCGTATTTCGTTGGGCCTCACGAACTTAGGACTTTACAATTGTCTTACAGTCCCGTACACCCTTTCAAAACACTACATAATAACTAATACTATATATACCAACACATCGAATGAATATCTTTATATTCACGCCCTTGCAGTTTCCGAGTAAGAAGCTCTCAGTAACATATGCTTCTCGTAAAAAGTGTGAATGCTTTGTGACCTGATTGACTGACTGATTGATTGGTTCGTTGATTGGACGGTTGGTTGGTTGGTTCTTGACGGAGACATATACCTGGATAGTTTTGTAAACACGTGCTGTCAGTTGATACGCATACATATACCGAGCTTTGCTTGTATACCCATGTGTAATTGTACTTGTATAATTATCTATTCATGCCGTCAAAAACACAGACGTGACCTGAGAAAACACAGCCTGTGTTTGTCCACTCTACAAAATGTAATATTTCAGTACAGCTTTATGTAGTTTAAAGTATGAAGCTGACTTATGTGTTTAATGTGTTTATGGAACCATTAGCTTTTCGTGTATGCCACAAAATAGCCTGTCATACAGACCCTGAAACAATTATACCCAAAGTAGCACATGGAAGTCTAGAATGTGTGCAGGTCTAGATTATCGCAGTTTCTGAAAATGAAGAAAATCCTTGGGCTACTTTTTATTGTATTTTATTTTAATTCAAACACTTATTTCTGTAAAATAAGTTTATTTCAGAGACTAGCTGTTAGTCTGACCAGAAACAAATATGTTGATATCGTACACGGGCATTGGAATATACAGACTAGTTTGTAACTTTGAGTACCTGTACAACGAAGTACCTGCATGGTATCTTGTATAAAAGTTTACATCGTTTATCATTTTGGATATCTTGTAAAAACGCATTTAAAATTGAATTCATCGTTGCAAAATAAAAAAAATATAGCTGTTGAAAAGAATGTCGGTGTTAAGTGAGCCTTTTCCTGAATTTTGACGAATCTCTCATACGGGGACCCGTAAAGGTCCGGGTTAGAATATTGATCTTCCACAAACCGACTATGCTTGTCGTAAGAGGCGACTAACGGGATCGGGTGGTCAAGCTAGCTGATTTGGTTGACACATGTCATCGTATTCCAATTGCGTAGGTCGATGCTCAAGCTGTTGATCACTGGATTGTCTGGTCCAGACTCGATTATTTACAGACCGCCGCCATATAGCTGGAATATTGCTGAGTCCGGCGTAAAACTAAACTCACTCACTCTCACACTGGAACCGCCATTCTCTTAGAAGTAACAGTATCAGTGTCATCAAGTCAAATCTGTTATCTCTGTTATCGGGTTACGAAACTGACGATCGAACATATTAATTTAACGCATGTAAGTCAATGATCCTGATCATACTGATCAAGTACTCCAATCCTAGAGCATTCAGGTTGTGATTTTTTTCACTCCTGGCGGTTATTGAAAAACCAGACGAGCTTTCATTTCGGTTACAAGTGGAGAAGTGGTGATTCATTCCACTTCCGTCATGGCCTCCTTATGATGTTCAAAGTGTTTTCCTTTTCGCCTTGACCCATTCCCAGACTGGTTCCCGGGGTATGTTGCGCAGGCGCTTCACTTATGAGCAACATGCCCTATACTTACTGTAGAAAAAACCTGAGAACGGGTAGTTAGTTGTTTTTCTTAGCATTTCATCGATCCTATAGCAAAGCATACCTCACCAAAATAAGGCCCATCGTTACTTTCAGAGACTTTCAGAGAAGGAAAACAGTTTCGAGAAAGTCGTCGTAACCTGGGCGAGGTGTAAACAATGACACACACGTTTCAACACCGACATGTCCGATAATATTTCCTGTCAGCTCGACATTGTCACGCGATATTGTTCACATAATACACGGAACTGAACGACCTCATTAATGATGTATTGTCAGCAGTTTCCGTTGTAGCTAACTCCACGTGTAATTTGACAACCCTGGAACCAGGTAAATAGAATGTGTAAAGTTGCAGCTTTGTTAAGCAGAATTTTTCATTTTTTTTACAATTAAAACGTACGAAGCCAAACTATACATGTTATTTTGTTTACAGTTTTAAAACTTATTCCACTCAAAATGCTGTAATGATGCGGTGTATATCCATAGTACAATTGAATGGGGGCTTCGAAACCCTCGTCAACCTCGTTGTACCCAAGATACGCAAAAGGCCAGGCCAAAACCTATAAAACACCTCCAAACCCAAACCCCAACTAAAACCAAAAACACCAACAAAGGAACACGACTCAACACAAACAAAAACAATCACTTGTTATCCTCTCAAGGACGCTGCGTTTCTCCTTCTGTCTTTTATCATTATCGGAGGGCCACGCCGAGGCTTTTTGTATGTTACGGAAACACACGAGAAGTGATGAATGCGGAAACGAGTGTCACGCGATCGAAGGGACATAACTCTGTTCGTCTTAGGTACACTAACAGTAAAAGAAAATAAACAAAAAGAAAAAGAAATAACTGTGAATATACAATTCAACGATTGTAGGTCTCGAGAGACAGTACCCGGGATCAAAACAAAAAACTAAAGTTGACGACATTACAGTACTCGGTGTAACTGGTTAGCTCGTTTCTAACAGCTACGTTACCACAAATTACAACAGCACTGGTTCCGTTATACGTTTGTAAGTGGACTCTCTTTTATCAATATTCCAGTAGTATCACGGCGAGGGAGACCTGTATGGGGACTCACAGATTGTACCCATGTGGTTAATCGAACCCATTGGACCTATTTGAAACCTTGACGATTTCCACCTAAAAGCCCGCCTATGAATGACTATACAGAACACGTGGAGAATTGATCGAATATCTCATTGATACGTTACGCATTACTATTTTGTAAGTTGTCGTTGAAGGGCGGCTTGTTATACTTATCACTTTCAGTTATTATTCACATTTGTTACGCGTAAAAGTTGTCGTTGAAGGGCGATTGTACCTGCCTTTCAGTTATTATTCACATATAATCATGACTGTTACAAAACATTCACATACATGTCGATGGAAACAATCATCACTGAAAGAATTCAAATTTATGATATGAATGAAGAATATTAACATGTTTACTGTACATGGTGACTGTATTGATAATACTTTGTTATCAAAGAATATTGTAGTCATCATGATTCATAGAGGGATTACCATTTTTTAAATTGTTCTGAAAAGATGTTTGTAGTTATTTTTGGCAAGAGTTAGAAAAAATTATTTTTTAAGCAAAAATCATGAATGACCCGGGGCTTTTATCATAATGGTAGCTACGCCCCTGTCTAAAGATGTAAGCACGACAGCGAAACCTACGTTCACGTAACTGCACAGTATGTGATTTATTGGCAGACATTAGGCAAGATAGTAGTCACGAGGCAAGGCGCCAGACACTGTTTGGGCCACGGGTAAGTAATTGTACGTGTAGTGTTTAAGGACGTGTATTTGTTAGAACATGCGAGTATGCGTGTCAGTACTTGTGAGTGAGTGAGTAAGTGAAGTTTTACGCCGCACTCAGCAATATTCCAGCTTCATGACAGCGGTCTGTAAATAATCGAGTCTGGACCAGACAATCCAGTGATCAACAGCATGAGCATCGATCTGCGCAATTGGGAACCGATGACATGTGTCAAATAAGCCAGCGAGCCTGACCACCAGATCCCGTTAGTCGCATCTTACGACAATTAAGCATGGGTTACTGAAGGTTCATTCTATAACTCGGACCTTCACGGGTTTCAGTACTTGTGCATGTGTAGGGATGTCGCAATGACGCAAATGTACGATGCAGTTCTCTGGTTTGACTTGTACTGTTATGTGCAGGTGTGTCTTTCAATTGACTTGCCTTTGCGTGTGTTTGTGCTGCTGCTACTATTTGGGCAGAATCCGTTCACCTAACCCTTTACCCTGGTAACATCCAAACTGCTTCATTCACATATATATGAATTGTCATTACCACTGAAGAGCCTTGAGCGGGGACAGATCTGGTGTGCATGAAGGAGTTTTGACTAGCACGAATATCTAGACTTTTATATAGTTACTGGAGCGGTGGGGGTAGCCTAGTGGTTAAAGCGTTCACTCGTCATGCATTATATGAGTACTACACATTATATGTATGGTTTCTCAGGTGTGTGTGTATGGTAATCGTGCAATTAACTGCTTTTAAAAGAGATTTGTCCATGTTTATGGAAATGGTTTTGTCGAGTTACAGTTTCTGTTACAGTAACAGGCATGCATGCGTGTAAGGACGTGCATGTTACAGACAGAACATAAGCAGTATGATCAAAGGTTTATTTGTTTGCAAAGATACAGACACGTGCTTTTCACTGTTACCCTAAAACACATGACAGAGACAAAGATAACTTTAACATAGACTTACGACAGTCGTAGCACTGAGGTTAAATCCCATACTTTAACATAGACTTACGACAGTCGTAGCACTGAGGTTAAATCCCATACTTGAACATAGACTTACGACAGTCGTAGCACTGAGGTTAAATCCCATACTTTAACATAGACTTACGACAGTCGTAGCACTGAGGTTAAATCCCATACTTGAACATAGACTTACGACAGTCGTAGCACTGAGGTTAAATCCCATACTTTAACATAGACTTACGACAGTCGTAGCACTGAGGTTAAATCCCATACTTTAACATAGACTCAGGACAGTCGTAGCACTCAGGTTAAATCCCATACTTTAACATAGACTTACGACAGTCGTAGCACTGAGGTTAAATCCCATACTTTAACATAGACTTACGACAGTCGTAGCACTGAGGTTAAATCCCATACTTTAACATAGACTTACGACAGTCGTAGCACTGAGGTTAAATCCCATACTTTAACATAGACTTACGACAGTCGTAGCACTGAGGTTAAATCCCATACTTTAACATAGACTTACGACAGTCGTAGCACTGAGGTTAAATCCCATACTTTAACATAGACTTACGACAGTTGTAGCACTGAGGTGATCGCAAATCCCATACTTTAACATAGACTTACGACAGTCGTAGCACTGAGGTTAAAATCCCATACTTGAACATAGACTTACGACAGTCGTAGCACTGAGGTCAAATCCCATACTTACGACAGTCGTACATGAGACTTACGACAGTCAGTCGAGCACTGAGGTTAAATCCCATACTTGAACATAGACTTACGACAGTCGTAGCACTGAGGTTAAATCCCATACTTTAACATAGACTTACGACAGTCGTAGCACTGAGGTTAAATCCCATACTTTAACATAGACTTACGACAGTCGTAGCGCTGAGGTTAAATCCCATACTTGAACATAGACTTACAACAGTCGTAGCACTGAGGTTAAATCCCATACTTTAACATAGACTTACGACAGTCGTAGCACTGAGGTTAAATCCCATACTTTAACATAGACTTACAACAGTCGTAGCACTGAGGTTTAATCCCATACTTTAAAATAGACTTACGACAGTTGTAGCACTGAGGTGATCGCAAATCCCATACTTTAACATAGATTTACGACAGTCGTAGCACTGAGGTGATCGCAAATCCCATACTTTAACATAGACTTACGACAGTCGTAGCACTGAGGTGATCGCAGATCCCATACTTTAACATAGACTTACGACAGTTGTAGCACTGAGGTGATCGCAACTCCCATACTTTAACATAGACTTACGACAGTCGTAGCACTGAAGTTAAATCCCATACTTTAACATAGACTTACGACAGTCGAGGCACTGAGGTTAAATCCCATACTTGAACATAGACTTACGACAGTCGTAGCACTGAAGTTAAATCCCATACTTTAACATAGACTTACGACAGTCGTAGCACTGAGGTTAAATCCCATACTTTAACATAGACTTACGACAGTCGTAGCACTGAGGTTAAATCCCATACTTTAACATAGACTTACGACAGTCGTAGCACTGAGGTTAAATCCCATACTTTAACATAGACTTACGACAGTCGTAGCACTGAGGTTAAATCCCATACTTTAACATAGACTTACAACAGTCGTAGCACTGAGGTTAAATCCCATACTTTAACATAGACTTACGACAGTCGTAGCACTGAGGTTAAATCCCATACTTTAACATAGACTTACGACAGTCGTAGCACTGTGGTGATCGCAAATCCCATACTTTAACATAGACTTACGACAGTCGTAGCACTGAGGTTTAAATCCCATACTTTAACATAGACTTACGACAGTCGTAGCACTGAGGTTAAATCCCATACTTTAACATAGACTTACGACAGTCGTAGCACTGAGGTTAAATCCCATACTTTAACATAGACTTACGACAGTCGTAGCACTGAGGTTAAATCCCATACTTTAACATAGACTTACGACAGTCGTAGCACTGAGGTAATCGCAAATCCCATACTTTAACATAGACTTACAACAGTCGTAGCACTGAGGTTAAATCCCATACTTTAACATAGACTTACGACAGTCGTAGCACTGAGGTTAAATCCCATACTTTAACATAGACTTACGACAGTCGTAGCACTGAGGTTAAATCCCATACTTTAACATAGACTTACGACAGTCGTAGCACTGAGGTTAAATCCCATACTTGAACATAGACTTACGACAGTCGTAGCACTGAGGTTAAATCCCATACTTTAACATAGACTTACGACAGTCGTAGCACTGAGGTAATCGCAAATCCCATACTTTAACATAGACTTACAACAGTCGTAGCACTGAGGTTAAATCCCATACTTTAACATAGACTTACGACAGTTGTAGCACTGAGGTGATCGCAAATCCCATACTTTAACATAGATTTACGACAGTCGTAGCACTGAGGTTTAAATCCCATACTTTAACATAGACTTACGACAGTCGTAGCACTGAGGTGATCGCAAATCCCATACTTTAACATAGATTTACGACAGTTGTAGCACTGAGGTGATCGCAAATCCCATACTTTAACATAGACTTACGACAGTTGTAGCACCGAGGTGATCGCAACTCCCATACTTTAACATAGACTTACGACAGTCGTAGCACTGAGGTTAAATCCCATACTTTAACATAGACTTACTACAGTCGTAGCATTGAGGTTAAATCCCATACTTGAACATAGACTTACGACAGTCGTAGCACTGAGGTTAAATCCCGTACTTTAACATAGACTTACGACAGTCGTAGCACTGAGGTTAAATCCCATACTTTAACATAGACTTACGACAGTTGTAGCACTGAGGTTAAATCCCATACTTGAACATAGACTTACGACAGTCGTAGCACTGAGGTTAAATCCCAAACTTTAACATAGACTTACGACAGTCGTAGCACTGAGGTTAAATCCCATACTTTAACATAGACTTACGACAGTCGTATCACTGAGGTTCGCAAATCCCATACTTTAACATAGACTTACGACAGTCGTAGCACTGAGGTGATCGCAACTCCCATACTTTAACATAGATTTACCACTACGGTCGCTTTGTGGAACGGGGCCCAAGTTGATATAACTGAAATTGTACTTCAAGTGACGTGAACCTACACAGAATCGTTAATGATTAATAACTTTGTTTTGTCACGCAAGAATGAAAACACACAGACATAACATATTATAAAAATAGCATTTTATTTTCCCTATATCACGGCACTATTTTACAGATGATTCCACTACAGATCAGTTTATAACTTAAGCTATAACTGCCAGCAGAGGAATAGCCAATGACGTTATGGCGACGTAAGCTGTAGACGCCCCTGAAATAAGAAAACAACCACATCATAGAAGCGTAAGCTACATAGAAAGGTACATAAAGTATTTCTCTAAAGAAGTACTGGCAATATGTATCGTGAAGTTATTATATGATATTTATATAGCGCACATATCCAACTAGTGCTTGCTCAAGGCGCTGGTATTTTTTCCCTCGATCATTGGATGTCAGTTATCAATCTCAACTCCCTGGGGATCATACAGCTCTTGCAGCCACTAGGCGCACCGAGTTATTGTGGCCTTCTCATCCTAACGAGGTACCCATTCACAGCTGAGTGGACTGGGACACATAGTCACAGTACTTTGTCCAAGTTCACTGCACGTTGCTGTACCCGCAACTTGGTGTTTGCATGTATTCATGTGGCCACCATCTGGTCATATACCAACGGAGTCGTGGGTTCTTTTAAGTGCACAGGGATGTGTACTGTACACTAGGGGTTGTGACAACACTGAAAGAGTCTGCACACAAAGTTGACTCCGAGGGGTTTTTTTACACCCGGTCACAGGTGGTCTCGATCCCGACACCTCAAGCTTGCTGGATCACTAGGCTGGCACCTTAGCCAGCTCGCCCACCGGGCCCAATTCAAGCCTATTTTCTACTGTGCATCAACATGTCATAAGAAACAATGTTATTTTTATTCTGAGTATTCCTAGACTCCATGAATGAACGACGATAGGGAAATACATTGATTGGATACTCTGATACATATTTTCAAACAAAGGTAAATGTGATCTGGATTAGTTCTAAGTGACCAAGAGAAATAATCGAAACCACGCTGACTTGCGAAGCCGTTATTATGGGATGGAATAATTTATACATTTCTAGGGGAGGTGGGGTTGCGTAGTTGTTAAAACCTTCCCTCGTCACGCCGAAGACCCGGGTTCGATTCCCCACATTGGCACAATGTGTGAAGCCCATTTCTGGTGTCCTCCGCAGTTATATTGCTTGAATATTGCTAAAAGCGGCGTAAAACTCACTCACTCATTATATATTGTTAACGGTAAACCTGACATTGTAATGCACAACACTTACCGCTAGCTAACTCCTGCTGTTGAATGTTCTGCTCCAGTGATTCCATCAAAAGGGATACTCTCTGGAAATTTTCACCACTTCCAAAGTCGTGGTGCTTGTTCTTTAAATCAAAGAATTTATTCAGGAGTGCCTTCAATACCGCCAACTTCAGCTTCCCTAGAGCTTTCAAGATGTCCTTGAAGTCATCCTCGTCAAGCTTGAAAATAGAGGGCAGATATTTGCTGAACTTGGTGGTCAGTCCATCCAAGATATCCCGCTGTTGGATATTCTCTTCCACAGATTCCATCATCTGAGACACCCTCTGGAAATTTTGTGCACTTCCAAAGTCGTGGTGCTTGTCCTTCAAATCAAAGAATTTATTCAGGAGTGCTTTCAGTACCGCCAACTTCAGCTTCCCTAGAGCTCTCAGGATGTCCTTGAAGTCGTCCTCATCGAGCTTGAAAATAGAGGGCAGATATTTGCTGAATTTGGTGGTCAGTCCATCCAAGATATCCCGCTGTTGGATATTCTTCTCCAAAGATTCCATCATCTGAGACGCTCTCTGAACATTCTGTGCGCTTCCGAAATCGTGGTGCTTGTCCTTCAAATCAAAGAATTTATTCAGGAGTGCCTTCAGTACCGCCAACTTCAGCTTCCCCAGAGCTTTCAGGATGTCCTTGAAGTCGTCCTCGTCCAGGTCGAAAATAGACGCGAGATGTTTACTGAACTTGCTGGTCAGTCCATCGACGATAACACTCACAAACGGCCTATGACGTGACGTTGTGGTGACCTGTGTGACCGTTGTGACATGGGTGTCCAGGGTAACCTGGCGGATATGGGTGTCCTGGGTGTCCTGGGCGTTGGACATGGTGGAGTGCGCACACACCAGTACGAGGCACAGAAGGGCGATTGACGACTGCATGCTTCTGAATATGCAATAAAAGTTAAAGTTTTAATATTATGAATATATATTAAATATATTTAGCTAGTTTAATGTTGGTCCTAAATGAAGCTAGTTTGAATACATCAGAGGAACAGACTCAATACAAAGCATTCTAAAGAACATTGGTCCTTGTTCAGAGCCGACCTCAGGACAGTGAAAACGCTGTCCAGGTTGTCGTCATTTAGGCGTGCCGTGATTCTTTGGCATGGGTTCCAATCCCAGATTCACCGCGTGCCATGGTTATTTACCAAAGATCCTTTTTGACTTTCTCGCAGATTAAGATATAGAGAATCTCACCCAAGTGTCTACTGATATCAATTATATCAACACGAGTTGATAAAGTTACAAATACCCGAGGCTTGCCGAGGATATTTCTACCTTTATCAACGAGTGTTGATATAATTGATATCAGTAGACACGAGGGTGAGATTCTGTTTATCATGAAAAATCATTCTTAATTTATTTTCAATGAAAAATATACATCTCTCAACACTGTACTTCCATTAGACTTGCAGTGCAGCGATGTCATGGCATTGTGACGTCATCAAGTTGATGACGTCATAGCATTGTCAGGCATTGTACAAAATCTACTGTCAAAATGGTCTCACACAAGCGATATCTCCTGTGGAACATAGTTTTGGATGATACAATGTTATTGAACTACTGTTGCAAGTAGCGAAACTAATTCACTCAAACTCAAAACGATCACCAGTCTCGACCAATCTCCATGGGGTGCAAAAGTAAATAATCGCGGTTGAAATCACACGCATGTTAAAGAGTATATTGAGAGTTTGTGGTGAAAAGAGTGAGTGAGTGGGTATGGTTATATGCCGCTTTTAGCAATATTCCAGCAAAGACACATATTTTACCCATGAGAGAAATCGAACCCGGGTCTTCGGCGTAACGAGCTAACACTTTAACCACTAGCCTACCCCACCTTCCCTGTGGTGAGAAAAACATCGTCCAATAGCATCAAATACTCGAACATTAATAGCCAGTTCAGAGAACAAGAACCCATGCAGATTCGGGTTAGAATTGGTCTTCAGCAACCCATTCTTGTCGTAAGAGCTGAATAACGGGATCGGCTGGTCAGGCTCGCTGACCTGGTTGACACATGTCATCGGTTCCCAATTGCGCAGATTGATGCTTTATATGATATTGATCATTGGGTTGTCTGGTCCAGACTCGATTATTTACAGACCGCCGCCATATAGCTGGAATATTGCTGAGTGTGGCGTAATACTAAACTCACTCAATACAAAGCGATCGTAGCGTTGAGGTGATCGCAATTCCCATACTTTAACATAACTTACGACAGTCGTAGGGTTGAGGAAGGGGCGTAGGAACGAGGGGGGGGGGGCTTAGCCTCCCACTTTTTTCAAGACGAAACCATCTACCTTACCATACTTTTCATAAATTAGCACCCCCACCCCCACCCCACCTTCCTTCCCGCTCTGAAAACCGTTCCTACGCCCCTGTGAGGTGATCGCAGCAACCAAACTAAATCCTGAATATTTACTAACACGATTTCCACATGGATAACACCTTATTCTTATAACACCAAAACCGCTTACCTTTCAGATAGAGATATGTGGATGGTCAGCGTGTGTTCAGCTGCTGTGTTGACCACTGAGTCTGTGCCATTATATAGGGTTAGCCGGGAACCTTGTCATTCTGCGACACTTTCCGTGGGTGAATCATGGGGTGGTGCCATATATCCATGACACAGCCTCTTTGCTCGTCGTCAGGGGGGTCTTGTGATTTGGGAGGACAATGGGAAGCGTCCGCTGTGATGGAGCAGGGTGACTCAGTTTCCTTCATAGTTCACACTGAACACCCTATGACGTATTCATTTAGACTTACAATTTTGATCATTGCTACAACTACCATACTAGACAATAACAACAAGAGTTATCTCCCGTGTTGTCATATGACGTCACGGGTCTGACAGCAATGATGACAAGGCGATCGTGTAGATTTTAAAAGTAGATAAACCCAAGCAGATTTGACAACGCGTGGGGGTGTTATTTACGAGACATTTAGGAAACGGGGGCTCATTTCCACGGGGGTTCATCATGACGGAGCGCTGTATCAGCGTAACATGATGCAGCCTTTGTAGATCTGTCGGCACAAATGACAAGACTATTATCAAAGAAGAGTTTGGGGTGATGCTGATAAAGCAAAATCAGTCATTGAGCGTATTTTCAGTAGCAGCTGCACTTAAATGTACTTTCGGGCTTGGAATTGACCATACAGCTTGACAGATTAATGTAGCATTTATTGTTCCTCTCAAACGGCCGAGATGGTGTATGAAAATATACAGGTCAGACATTTCGCTGTACCATTTCGCTATTGGCCGTTTCCTGCCTCCTGAAATGTAATGTATCGTTTTTGTGGGCGCATTCGTCATTTTGCATTAAATTCTTATTCTCACCCCTCCGTAAAACAACAGTCTATCCCCCAAGTTTGTTATTAAATTACATGTTAATTTAAAACTGTTTTTATTAAATCTTTGTACAAACTGAATGGGCTGTATCGACAGTTCCTATTCATTCAGTATAGCAGAAGATGCCTCTGACTGACGCTGGTGCTGAAGCGGCTGATCATGGTAGTTTTCAGAAGGCGTTTATATTTGTTGTTGACATCCAAATGGCATTCCATCTCCGTCAGATCTGACTTTTCTCACACATTGAGTCACTATTATAAGTGACGCACAGTTAACCAGAACTGTTTGTTTGTTTGTTGGACACCGCACTATTCCCGCCATATGGCGGTCTGTAAATAATCGAGTCTGGACAACACAATCCAGTGATCAACATCATGAATATCGATCTACGCAATTGGGATAGGTTAGTCGCCTATTAGGAAAAGGTGCTGAAGATCAATTCTAACCCGGTCTTAATTCGCATATACGTAAATGTCCTTCATATCTTATTCCTAATATTACTCTCCGACCATAGTGAACATAAAGGGGGCGGGGGGTAGCCCAGTGGTTAAAGCGTTGGCTCGTCACGCCGAAGACCCGGGTTCGATTCCCCACATAGGCACAATGTGTGATGCCCATTTCTGGTGTCCCCCGCCGTGATGTTGCTGGAATATTGCTAAAAGCGGCGTAAAACTAAACTCAGTCAGTCAGTCAGTCAATGAACATAAAGTAAAACAGATCAGAACCATTTGTGACCAATTCGTGTCATTCTGGAACAAGCACAAAGTAGACTCGTGCCCGTTTTGATATATTATTTCCACAATACATTTCTGTGGACTGCAAATTAAACCTTACATGACTTACTTCTCGACCATGACAGCGCTAACGAACATTATGCAAACTACATTTGTGTCCTTTGAGTTATCTGAATCTTTGTTTGTTGTTTAACGCCGCACTCAGCGATATCTCGGCGAGTCTGGACAACAGGAGCATCGATCAACTAAACTGATACCCATAACATTACTAAGAACAAAATATCCATCATCATCATGTCAAGAGATTGGTTGTTTTGTTGTTTAACGACGGACTCAGCAAATTCCAGCTGTATGGCGGCGGTCTGTAAGTAGTCTGGACCAGACAACCCAGTGATCAACAGCTTGAGCTTCGACAACTGGGATACAATGACTTGTGTCAACCAAGTCAGCGAGTCTGACCACCCGATCCCTTAAGTGGCCTTTTACGACAAGCATGGGTTGCTGAAGAAAAAATGCAATTCTAACCCGGATCTTGTCGTGTACCATGTCACAATATGTACCGACATATATATATATATATATATATATATATATATCACTTCTCCCTGAAGATAAAAGTGAAACATGTTGGAGAAGATCCGTGTCGTGTGATTATTTCAGAAACTTCTTCTTATATACGTACTACTGTACGCTCGGTATTCTCATCACTTTATTTATATATTCTCATCACTTTCTTTATACATAACAAATCCTCAAATTCTATAATTTTGATAAAAAAACTCCCGAGTTATCTCTAATAAATTCGTCACATGGTTTTTTGAAAGGGCGTACGGGACTGTAAGACCCTTGTAATTTCCGTATTTCGTTGGGCCTCACGAACTTAGGACTTTACAATTGTCTTACAGTCCCGTACACCCTTTCAAAACACTGTGTAACTAATACTATATATACCAACACATCGAATGAATATCTTATATTCACGCCCTTGCAGTTTCCGAGTAAGAAGCTCTCAGTAACATATGCTTCTCGTAAAAAAGTGTGAATGCTTGGTGACCTGATTGACTGACTGATTGATTGGTTCGTTGATTGGACGGTTGGTTGGTTGGTTCTTGACGGAGACATATACCTGGAGAGTTTTGTAAACACGTGCTGTCAGTTGATACGCATACATATACCGAGCTTTGCTTGTATACCCATGTGTAATTGTACTTGTATAATTATCTATTCATGCCGTCAAAAACACAGACGTGACCTGAGAAAACACAGCCTGTGTTTGTCCACTCTACAAAATGTAATATTTCAGTACAGCTTTATGTAGTTTAAAGTATGAAGCTGACTTATGTGTTTAATGTGTTTGTGGAACCATTAGCTTTTCGTGTATGCCACAAAATAGCCTGCCATACAGACCCTGAAACAATTATACCCAAAGTAGCACATGGAAGTCTAGAATGTGTGCAGGTCTAGATTATCGCAGTTTCTGAAAATGAAGAAAATCCTTGGGCTACTTTTTATTGTATTTTATTTTAATTCAAACACTTATTTCTGTAAAATAAGTTTATTTCAGAGACTAGCTGTTAGTCTGACCAGAAACAAATATGTTGATATCGTACACGGGCATTGGAATATACAGACTAGTTTGTAATTTTGAGTACCTGTACAACGAAGTACCTGCATGGTATCTTGTATAAAAGTTTACATCGTTTATCATTTTGGATATCTTGTAAAAACGCATATAAAATTGAATTCATCGTTGCAAAATAAAAAAAATATAGCTGTTGAAAAGAATGTCGGTGTTAAGTGAGCCTTTTCCTGAATTTTGACGAATCTCTCATACGGGGACCCATAAAGGTCCGGGTTAGAATATTGATCTTCAGTAACCAATGATTGGCGTAAGAGGCGACTAACGGGATCGGATGGTCAGGCTCGCTGATTTGGTTGACACATGTCATCGTATTCCAATTGCGTAGGTCGATGCTCAAGCTGTTGATCACTGGATTGTCTGGTCCAGACTCGATTATTTACAGACCGCCGCCATATAGCTGGAATATTGCTGAGTCCGGCGTAAAACTAAACTCACTCACTCTCACACTGGATCCGCCATTCTCTTAGAAGTAACAGTATCAGTGTCATCAAGTCAAATCTGTTATCTCTGTTATCGGGTTACGAAACTGACGATCGAACATATTAATTTAACGCATGTAAGTCAATGATCCTGATCATACTGATCAAGTACTCCAATCCTAGAGCATTCAGGTTGTGATTTTTTCACTCCTGGCGGTTATTGAAAAACGAGACGAGCTTTCATTTCGGTTACAAGTGGAGAGGTGGTGATTCATTCCACTTCCGTCATGGCCTCCTTATGATGTTCAAAGTGTTTTCCTTTTCGCCTTGACCCATTCCCAGACTGGTTCCCGGGGTATGTTGCGCAGGCGCTTCACTTATGAGCAACACTGTAGAAAAACCTGAGAACGGGTAGTTAGTTGTTTTTCTTAGCATTTCATCGATCCTATAGCAAAGCATACGTCACCGAAATAAGGCCCATCGTTACTTTCAGAGACTTTCAGAGAAGGAAAACAGTTTCGAGAAAGTCGTCGTAACCTGGGCGAGATGTAAACAATGACACACACGTTTCAACACCGACATGTCCGATAATATTTCCTGTCAGCTCGACATTGTCACGAAATTGTTCACATAAAACATGGAACTGAACGACCACATTAATGACATATTGTCAGCATTTTCCGTTGTAGCTAATTCCACGTGTAATTTGACAACCCTGGAACCAGGTAAATAGAATGTGTAAAGTTGCAGCTTTTTTAAGCAGAATTTTAAATTTCTTTTACAATTAAAACGTACGAAGCCAAACTATACATGTTATTTCTTTTACAGTTTTAAAACTTATTCCACCCAAAGTGCTGTAATGATACGGTGTATATCCATAGTACAATCGAATGGGAGCTTCGAAATCCTGGTCAACCTCGTTGTACCCAAGATACGCAAAAGGCCAAGGCCAAAACCTATAAAACACCTAAACCCAAACCCCAACTAAAACCAACAACACCAACAAAGGAACACGACTCAACACAAACAAAAACAATAAAATGTTATCCTCTCAAGGACGCTGCGTTTCTCCTTCTGTCTTTTATCATTATCGGAGGGCCACGCCGAGGCTTTTCATGTTACGGAAACGAGAAGTGATGAATGCGGAAACGAGTGTCACGCGATCGAAGGGACATAACTCTGTTCGTCTTAGGTACACCTACAGTGAAAGAAATACAATTCAACGATTGTAGGTCTCGAGAGACAGTACCCGGGGATCCAAACACAAAATCTAAAGTTGACGACATTACAGTACTCAGTGTAACTGGTTAGCTCGTTTCTACCATCTACGACCGCCTCCGTGGTGTAGTGGTTAGAGCGTCCGCCCGTAGAGCGGAAGGTCGCGGGTTCGATCCCCGACCGCGTCATACCAAAAAGACGTTAAAATATGGTACATGTTGGTCCCTGCCTTGCGCTGGGCATTAATGGGTACAACAAGGACTGGTCGGCTCGGAGTCAGTATAATGTGTCTGAGTGGTGTATTCATGCTTCACTGCGGCATGGTATCTCAGTGGGCTAGCACTATAAAACCAGCTTAAGTCTGGGCTAGTACAAGAAGCCGCAGATACACATACACATGCATGCACGTCGTCATATGAGCGAAATATTCTCAAGCACGACGTAAAACCCAATTTCACCTCACCTCACCTCTACCATCTACGTTACCACAATTACAACAGCAGTGGTTCCGTTATACGTTTGTAAGTGAGCTTTCTTTTATCAATATTCCAGTAGTATCACGGCGAGGGAGACCTGTATGGGGACTCACAGATTGTACCCGTGTGGGACATTGGGTTTTTTACGTGAGAATATTTCGCTCATATGACGACGTGCATGCGTGTGTGTGTGTATGTGCAGCTGCTTGTACTAGCCCAGACTGAAGCTGGATTTATAGTGCTAGCCCACTGAGATACCATGCCACAGTGAAGCATGAACACCCCACTCAGACACATTATACTGACTCCGAACCGACCAGTCCTTGTTGTACCCAGGGAGCGCCAGGCAGGGACCAACAAGTACCGTATTTTAACGTCTTTTGGTATGACGCGGCCGGGGATCGAACCCGCGACCTTCCGCTCTCCGGGCGGGCGCTCTAACCACTACACCACGGAGGCGGTTTATGATATGAATGAAGAATATTAACATGTTTACTGTACATGGTGACTGTATTGATAATACTTTGTTATCAAAGAATATTGTAGTCATCATGATTCATAGAGGGATTACCATTTTTTAAATTGTTCTGAAAAAGTGTTTGTAGATATTTTTGGCAAGAGTAACAAAAAAATAGTAGTTTTTAAGCAAAAATCATGAATAACCCGGGGCTTTTATCATAATGGTAGCTACGCCCCTGTCTAACGATTTAAGCACGACAGCGAAACCTACGTTCACGTAACTGCACAGTATGTGATTTATTGGCAGACATTAGGCAAGATAGTAGTCACGAGGCAAGGCGCCAGACACTGTTGGGCCACGGGTAAGTAATTGTACGTGTAGTGTTTAAGGACGTGTATTTGTTAGAACATGCGAGTATACGTGTCAGTACTTGTGAGTGAGTGAGTAAGTGAAGTTTTACGCCGCACTCAGCAATATTCCAGCTACATGACAGCGGTCTGTAAATAATCGAGTCTGGACCAGACAATCCAGTGATCAACAGCATGAGCATCGATCTGCGCAATTGGGAACCGATGACATGTGTCAAATAAGTCAGCGAGCTTGACCACCCATATTTGCCAGCTCCATATACGTGCTCATGGGTTAACCAGAGTAAAACGTCTTCCCTTGGCTTCTGTCCCGTGTCAATATGACACGCCCTGATAAACCGAACAATTGTTTCTCAGTCAATTATAGGGACAAATTGAATCCAGGATTACTGAAGATTAACGGGGCGGTGGGGTAGCGTAGTGGTTAAAGCGTTGGCTCGTCACGCCGAAGACCCGGGTTCGAATCCCCACATGGGTACAATGTGTAAAGCCCATTTCTGGTGTCCCCCGCCGTGATGTTGCTGGAATATTGCTAAAAGCGGCGTAAAACCAAACTCAGTCAGTCAGTCAGTAGTGGTTAAGGCGTTCGCCCGTCACGCCGAAGACCCGGGCTCGATTCCCCACAAGGGTACAATGTGTGAAGCCCATTTCAGGTGTCCCCCTCCGTGATATTGCTGGAATATTGCTAAAAGCGGCTTAAAACTCACTCACTCACTCACTCACTCACTCAGCCACCCACCCACCCACTCACTCACTGAAGAAAAAAACTGTTCATGTATTTCGACCACAAAAGAATACCAACACGTAGATATATTTATACAAATATATAAATGTATTTCCCAGACATTCACACGCTGTATTACAGTCATCACAGGTCAGTTTATGACCTTAGCTATCACTGGCAGCAGTGGAATCATCAATGACGTCATGGCGACATTTGTTGCAGAAGCTCCTGAAATAAGAAAAAACGCCAACATCATATACAATTTCAAAAGAACATAACAACAAAAGAGTAACATTTAATAATGTTACTCTAATTGCAATATGCACTATTCTAGCATACATGGGGATGGTGGGGTAGCCTAGTGGTTAAAGCGTTCGCTCGTCATGCCGAAGACCTGGGTTCGATTCCCCACATGGGTACAATGTGTGAAGCCCATTTCTGGTGTCCCCGCCGTGATATTGCTTGAATTTTGCTAAACACACTCACTCACTCACATTGATCTCATATCATATGTAGTTATCGGTATTCTATGTTGTGTCCTTTATCTATTTAAAAGTATATTTTGTGTCATTTGTGACATACAAAACGCTTGCTATAGAAATGCCTTTATTATCTGTTTTTAATTTCTGTTGACAGGTTTTGTCGTGTAACGGTAAAGCTGAGGCTACAATGCACAATACTTACCGCTAGCTAATTCCTGCTGTTGAATGTTCTCCTCCAGTGATTCCATCAAAAGGGACACCCTCTGGAAATTTTCACCACTTCCAAAGTCGTGGTGCTTGTCCTTCAAATCAAAGAATTTATTCAGGAGTGCTTTCAGTACCGCCAACTTCAGCTTCCCCAGAGCTTTCAAGATGTCCTTGAAGTCATCCTCGTCAATCTTGAAAATAGAGGGCAGATATTTGCTGAACTTGGTGGTCAGTCCATCCAAGATATCCCGCTGTTGGATATTCTCCTCCAAAGATTCCATCATCTGAGACACTCTCTGAACATTCTGTGCGCTTCCGAAATCGTGGTGCTTGTCTTTCAAATCAAAGAATTTATTCAGGAGTGCTTTCAGTACCGCCAACTTCAGCTTCCCCAGAGCTTTCAAGATGTCCTTGAAGTCATCCTCGTCAAGCTTGAAAATAGAGGGCAGATATTTGCTGAACTTGGTGGTCAGTCCATCCAAGATATCCCGCTGTTGGATATTCTCCTCCAAAGATTCCATCATCTGAGACACTCTCTGAACATTCTGTGCGCTTCCAAAATCGTGGTGCTTGTCCTTCAAATCAAAGAATTTATTCAGGATTGCCTTCAGTACCGCCAACTTCAGCTTCCCCAGAGCTTTCAAGATGTCCTTGAAGTCATCCTCATCCAGGTCGAAAATAGACGAGAGATATTTGCTGAACTTGTTGGTCAGTCCATCCACGATATCATCCACTGAGCGTCTAGGACGTGACAGTTTGGTGTCCAGGGTGTCTTGGGTGTCAGACATAGTGGAATGAGCACACACCAGCACAACGAGGCACAGAAGGGAGATGGAGGACTGCATGCTTCTGAATAAGAGATAAGAGTTAAAGTATTAATGGAATAATACCTGCATTTGTATTCTATTTCCCCAGTCATCAAATCACTACATTCACAGTTAAAACAATAGCAATATGTTAATATATACATCCTGAACAAGGCACTGGGCACGTGGCCAATACCAATATATCCCTGAAGAAACAGCAGGAGGTACTATGAACGAGTCTCCCAGGTCAATGGACACCGGGTGTCAAGGACACATTTAAAAATTGGAACAGTAACGTGTACCAATAGTATAAAGTATTTAATATGCTTGTATAGCCCTCTCTATCTTAATGACTAATGAGTAAGTTATATACATATTGCCCCTTCCGTTGTACGCTGAACAACACAGAGGTCATCCAGTCTGTCATAGCGAGTCTGTGTCTCGTGTCTTTCCAAATGTGAAACACGTTTGACGTATGAATGATAATGAATGAATGATAATTGATTTGTATAGCGTCTGGTTTCCAGATTAAACATGGCTGCTCAACGGCACTTGTTGAAGTGAGCGGAAAAAATATAAGTCTTCAGATGAGTTAGAAAAGAGTCTTTTGTTTGACAATTTCTGATTTCCAGTGGTAGAGCATTCCACAGTTTTGGAGCTGCAAAGCATAGACCCACTTCGCCCGGGCCCATCGTTGTTTTAGTTTTAGGAACATGAAGTAGTTTATCATCGGCTGAGACTAATTGGGTCGTTAATTGTAAATTCCAGAACCTTTCCACTGCAGCAATGCTTCCTGTGTTTTACCCGTAACATCAGACTTTGAAATACGTTATCCATAACACCAGAGTGTCCAGCAATATCATTCACTTTTACCTTAAGTAGGTATCTGTAAATGAATATCTGTCTTCTAACAGATATACAAACGATTAACCTATTATATTTTGTATAACAAGAACAGGGGCGATGGGGCCTAGTGCTTAAAGCGTTCGCTCGTCATGCTGAAGACCCGGGGTCGATTCCCTACTTGCGTGCAATGTGTGAAGTCCATTTCTGGTGTTCCCCGCCGGAATATTGCTAAAAGCGGCGTAAAATCAAACTCACTCACTCAAAACAAGAAAGCTTACCTTTCTCTGAGACACAGATCTATGTGTGGGTCAGCGTGTGTTCAGCTGCTGTGTTGACCATTGAGTCTGTGCCATTATATAGGGTTAGCCGGGAACCTTGTCATTCTGTGACACTGGTTCCGTGGGTGAATCATGGGGTGGTGCCATATATCCATGACACAGCCTCTTTGCTCGTCGTCGGGGGGTCGTGGGATTTGGGGGACAATGGGAAGCGTCCGCTGTGATGGAGCAGGGTGACTCAGTTTCCTTCAAACTCCATGCTATACTTCCCACGTGTTTCCCCCAGTTTTGATCTTTGCTACGCACACAGTACCAGACAATAGTAACAAGAGTTATCTCCCGTGCTGTCATGACAACGCACCGGACAAGATGGCGGGAATGACAGGGAAGTCATGCAGATTTTAGCTGTGGATAAACTCAAGTAGATGTGACCGTGTGGTGGCATTACAAGTTATGTACGGGGCATTAGGAAACGGAGAATCATTGCCACGACACGGATGGTCGTAGTGACGGCGCTATATGTCAGCCACACATAATATGATACATACATATCTGCCAACATCACCATAATTAAAGAGGCTATTTTGGGTGATGCTGAATGTGCAATATCATGCGTACTTTCATATGTACTCTTCATGAATGTAGGGGAACTTCGAATTTGTATATGAAGTACATGTATAGGCTTAACAAACTTTTCAAAGACAGACATCTTATGAACGCACCACCATTTCTCTTTATCACCGCCCCTAAACACAACGCATGGTATGCACGTGTACAACGCAGTAGTCCCACACACGTACATGGGGTGTCATTCTTGATTTTGACGGTTTTCAAGACGGTTGATAAATAAATCACCATAGACCATTAATTTTGACAGTTGTTATAGGGACCGTTCATAATTTATGGCTAGGGAGGGTGATGATGATTTTCATGGAGAAGCATGTACAATGTGAATGACAACTCCCACCCCCACCCCCACCCCTAAAATTTATGTACAAAGTAAGTGACCCCGCCCTGCATCTCATGTACAAAATCAATGACACCCCCACCCCACCCCTGCCTCCCTTACCTTATGATAATGTTTAAGCATAATTTTTAAATATTTGTATGTACAAAATTGCTGACCCCCTAAAACATGTGTTCAAACTTGATGACACACCCCCACACACCCCACACCCCCCACCGAACAAAATGGGTGACCCCCCTTTAAAATCATTATCAGAAGGTCCGTGTTTCGAGTACCAGCACGGGAAAATATATGGCCGCTACTTAAATGTTTCCCAGATCAGATCGACTGTCATGTTGTCGTAACTTAAACCGGTATACTCTCGAATATTTGTTTCCGTTTGCCGGTTCTCTTACCGTAGCAGGTTTCACTACACTAAATCAGTATCACATGTGAAGAGAGACAGAGACATGTGACAGCTGTGATTGGATGAAATAGTGTAAGATGTTTGTTTTTTAAAAGCACATCCAACCAGTAATTAAAACTTACCACAATTTTAAGTATTTAGTGCTGTCATTTTTATCACCATCACATATGCTTATTGTGTGTACAGATATTTTCCAGCAGGTGACATTTGGTGCGGAACTGGGGTTTATGTGTTCCACTTCCTGTGCTCGCAAAACGAGCCGGGCAAGTTGGCCTGATATTTTGTTTTATGGTAGTTTAAAGGCCAGAGTGTACCCATGTGTACTTGGAATGGCTATTGATAGCCTGGATATTTAAAAAAAAATATAAGGTTACTATAGAAGTCTATGGGAAAACATTTGGTGGTGTGTAACCAGAGACCATACTATTATATGGTCTCTGGTGTAACTTAGCATACAAACCCAAATGAGAATGGAAAGCATATGGACGAAGGGACATAACTCTGGTTGTCTCAGATGGACACTAAAATCACCAATGCGCGACGGAAAGAGCGAGTGGATGAGTTCAGATTAACACCGCTCTGATCAGTATTTCAGTTACGTCATGGCATGTCAGCTTGGACTAGGACGGGTAACCCGGATACCCGAGAAGCGTGGGTAATGAGTTGGACCCGGGTACCCGTCTCAATCCCCGGACCCGTTATGATCATGTGACCAATAGATTAAACAATGTAATATGTTATATGATATTCTTTCATTTTTAAAAGGTTGTATTGTCTTTGAAGATTTAGACATAATTACAGTCACTTCTTTTGAATATAATACATGGTTAAGATATTGAAAAACTTGAAATTTTAGCCTCCGAGCTGAAGAATATATTGCCATTTCCTACAAATTTGATGTCAGGAATTAACATAACGGGTATCCGGGTAGGGTAGAGTAGTAGGGGGTGGGATACCCAGGTAGAAAATTTGGACTCGTCCCAGCCTTAACGTCAGTTTGGTCAAGGACAAGTCTGAAATGCTGCTGAATGCCAGTGCACGTGTACTGTGCACACACATCTGGAAACATGATCAACCTGATTCTAAAAATGAGTGAGTGTTGGCTTAGTCCAGAATAATAACGACGGGACTTCTTCGTGACGAGCAATATCTAACTACGTATGTAACCGCGAAATAATATACTGACGAACAAAAGAAAGTACACACCTGGCACAACGTTCACGATGTTTGTGACTTGTAACTCTTTTCAAAATAATTACGCTGAGTTTTTTTAAAAAACACCCCTCAAACTGGCGTGTACTTTCTTTTGTTCGTCAGTATGTTTTATTGGGGTAGTCCCGTAAGTTCGACCTTTGGGTCGAGGTAAAAATCCTTTGATTTTTGACGTTGTGAAAACGTGTTGTTTTTAAGGGATTAAGACACTGGTTTTCTACAAAATGTAAAATGTGTCCACTCAGGCAACGATATATGACATGTGAACCAGCGGGTTTAGTGAGTGAGTTTAGTTCACTCAGTTCATTAGTAGTGAGTTATTCAATGTCTTACATAAACTGACCCGTGAAGATCCGGGGTAGAATAAGTCTTCAGCAACCCATGCTTGCCACAAAAGGCGACTATGCTTGTCGTAAGAGGCGACTAACGGGATCGGGTGATCAGGCTCGCTGACTTGTTTGACACATGTCATCAGTTCCCAATTGCGCAGATCGATGCTCATGCAGTTGATCAATGGATTGTCTGGTCCAGACTCGATTATTTACAGACCGCCGCCATATAACTGGAATATGCGGCGTAAAACTAAACTCACTCACTCACTCTTACATAAACGTGCATGCTATAAGAATGTTAGAACTGACAGTTTTCATCCTCATTTCCACAACATCAGTTATAGCAAATGCACAATACGTTTCTTTCTACTTCTCATGGTGGAAGATACATACGTGTAAATGGTTATATGTTTCTTGTGAACAAGGAGAAAGGGGAGAAAGAATCTCGAGGAGATGCATTCAGAAAGTCTGCAGATCAATCTCAACAGTGAACGACATAATTTCCAAAATACCTTGAGACAACAATCACAAACCTGTACACAACGAATTCAAGGTGAATCTTTTCGACTGTACCAAAAATACTGACGGTCCCCGCACAAACAACAACCTCGAGGGTTGACATGGCCGTCTCAAGAAGGTTGTTGGAAAACAACATCCCAACCGTTTCCAGATCGATGGCCAAGTTCTTGGCAGATGAACAGGGGCTGAACGAGGCAAAGATGCTTCAGTACAATGCTGGCCAAAGACTGACCCAAAAAGAAGTACAGATATTTGGAGAGACGACTAGACACCTTGAGGTATTTGCTGTCACCATGAATTATACATTTAATTTAATTCACAAGGAAATGGTCATTTGTAGTGCCATACAGTTTTCTTTTTATAAATAATGTTAGATTATGCATTGTATGTTATGTTATTCAAAGTTGCTTTTTTTAGTGCTATAAACTTTATAAACTATTTGTATTATTTATTATGTAGACATTAGAAATTACCGTCCCAGTGAAAGCCTAAATAAAAATGACATTTTACAGCGTGATTCTTGTCCAGTTATTTTCAGGTGAACATTTTAGCATTAACCGTACCGTTTCTAAAAACTTTGACTGCCCATTGTCTAGAACCAGTCGACTTTGAAGATATACCCCTGCAAACCGACCAGTTTGTTTTTACACCCATACGGGACCTAACCATTTTATTAGTGAGTTTGGTTTTACGCCGCTTTCAGCAATATTTCAGCAATATCACGGTGGGGGACACCAGAAATGGGCTTCACATATTGTACCCATATGGGGATTCGCACCCGGGTCTTCAGCGTGACGAGCAAACGCCTTAACCAGTAGGCTACCCCACCGCCCCCGTATGTTTTATTGGAGTGGGTTGACATTTGCCTAGCCATCGCCCACTCCGTCGATCCACACGTAAGTATCAGTCTTGTTGTCATAACTCGTTTATATGCCATCATACATCGTTTTCATTGTGGGCACCCAATGCACACTGAATAGTTTCACTTTGATTTTTTCTCTCGGTGAACCAGAATTCGGAAGCACGGCAATATGATATGCGGAGTTGCGTCCCTTGGACCTACCAGTGTTGTCGATGCGAGTCTGTAATCTCATTTGTCCTCTGGGTCTTTAACAAAATGCTTCTCCATAAATGTCACTGGCAACGGGTAAATGGTCCGTAGCAACTTGGAAATTTACAGATAATTATAAGTGCTTTATTCCCTATGACATGTGCTTAATTTTGGTACCACTGATTAAATGTATCAAACTTCTACTGCTACTACTATTTTTTTATATTATTATATGATACTTATATAGCGCACATATCCAGGCAACTAGTGCTTGCTCAAGGCGCTAATATTTTTTTCCCTCAATCATTGGATGTCAATCTCAATTGCACATCGTATTATCAATCTCAACTCCCTGGGGAGTATACAACTCTTGCAGCCACTAGGCGCACCGAGTTATTGTGGCTTTCTCATCCTAACGAGGTACCCATTGTGGGTGGACTGGGACAAATAGTCACAGTATTTTGTCCAAGTTCACTGCACGTTGCTGTACCCGCAACTAGGTGTTTGCACGTATTCATGTGGCCAGCATCTGGTCATATACCAACGGATTCGTGGGTTCTTTTAAGTGCACAGGGTTGTGTACTGTACACTAGGGGTTGTGACAACACTGAAAGAGTCTGCACACAAAGTTGACTCCAAGGTTTTTACACCCGGTCACAGGTGGGCTCGATCCCGACACCTCAACCTCGCTGGATCACTAGCCTGGCGCCTTAGCCAGCTCGCCCACCGCGCTACTACTACTACTACTAC